CAAAATATTTATAAAACTTTATTTACTCGCTTTATATTAAATACGTTGATTAAAATAAATGAGATAATTTTTCTCTAACGAAAAAAGAAAGTAGAAACGTCGGAATCGATGAATCATCACGAAACATTTGATAAAGTGTGCAAAGAGCGGGAAGCGTGCAGATCTCGAATCCCCCAATTGGGTTGAAATTTGAAAAAAAAGTAGACCTATTAATTCCTATTATTGTCCGTCTGTTCGATTGCCTGTCCTTCCTTAATCTGGAGAACGGAGTTACATAGATGACATCCGAGATCAGACGTGGAAAAAAATGGGGAAGTAGGCCCCGATTAACGATATACGAACTTCGGTTGCAAATCGGGAAAGACACCCCAATTCAAATCTCCCCTCCCCCAAAGGAGTTACGTAAATGACTAACATGACTCATTCCTCGCTAACGGAAAAGTGTAATGTACTGTACAAGGGCAAGCCACTACTAATTTCAGGTGGAAAGTATATATTTTAAATTAAATTAAAAAAAAATATGATTATAAATTGCAGCTCGGCAATATGACAACGTCACACTAAATAATTGCTCGTATATTGCGAGAGTTTTTTCATAAACATTATTTTAATTCGGAACGGATATTTACAGTATTTAAATTGCAATACACAGAAATGTTATATAAAAAGCAACAGCAATTATCTGCAGAATTGTTAATGACATATACTAGGAGGGGAGAATCCTTTTAATAAACTGTGAAGTTAAATAATTACATAAATGTTTAGAGATCAGTATACGGGATTATCCACAAATAATTTTACTCTATTTTTATACATTCAAACTACAAATCCATTTCCTGTAACGCTGCATAACGCATAGAACATAGGTTCAAAATTACGTAAAGCATATCCTAGATCAGGGGGTCACAAGGTTTTTTCACAGCGGGCGACGTAACTGAGAGAATGACGAGCGCGGGCCGCTTAACCGTTTTGTTCGCTACGAAAATCAAATACACAAAAAATAAAGACAACAAACATTATCATCGAACCAGAAGTTCATTCTATTGTAATTTGTAGAAAACATTGTAGCATCTGAGTTTGTTAAGACTGTAAATACTGTAAAATATTTGTCGGGGTTTACTTAAACCCTGAATAAAAAAATGAAAAAGGGCTATCATATAAAAAAGAACCCGAAATGCATTTTTCGAAAATAGTTTAGTTGTGTATTACTTTTATAATAGACTATGAACATAAAAAGTTGTGCAACTGCATCATTGTGGTTACAATTTGGTTTTATAAATTCATAATGATAGAAATGAATAACATATTTAGGCCTATATAAAAGTGATATCAATAATAGGATAAAAAGCTTAAAATTAACGAGTAATTATTTATTGCGACGTGGTCATGATGCCGGGCTGAAATTTTTAATATGTTTAATTTATCTAATTTAAAATACAGATAATCTCCATAAATATAATACCGTATATGATCTTCACCTGAAATAAATAGTGGCTTGTTCTTGTTCATCAAAGTTTTCCCGTTAGCAATGGAATCCTGCCGGTCATCTATCTCACACCTTGCGGGGGAACATTTTAATAACGTGACTTTCGGTTTCCATTTGAACTTCATATATACGTAATCGGGAGCTTCCTGCATCCAGTACAGTACAGTATATCCAAATTTTGTCACCATGTTCACGTATCTCACTCCTTTCTCGAAATTAGAGAAAGACAGATAGTCAGATAATAGACAACCGACGACAGCGGAATTTATAAATCTACAAGTTTTTTAAAATTGACACTTAATTACTAAATAATTGAACACGTGTTTAATTCGAAAACGCGAATATAATTAATAACATAAATCATAGATAAGTGCATTCCTTTCGAACTCAATCCTTTCAACAAATTATTTACACCTACCCACCGCTGGCCTGTCCGATGCCTACAAACATTTCATAAAAATTCAACATGTCAGAACATTTCCACCAGCCCGTATCGCGATATGTTAGTTTTCGTGGTCCGGTTATAAATTTAACACCATAAACCTATGACGGACTTCACGTTACCAAGTGCCACACACAACACTGACTAATTCTCCAAATTTCATTAGTAAACTACAACTAACAAAGCAGAAAACACGTGGATAAAGAGAAAACCTTTTGTGTTGCAGATCGAAAAGTCTTCCGGAGCTACAGAAACTTTGGACGATAGTGAATTTATACTTTTATTATTAATTAATAAAAAATAAATAAATAAATATAATACTTTCATTAATAAGCAAATTATTAATAAATAAATAATTAATGAAATGTAGATTTAGATTTTTTCCAGACGTGAAATAACTGCAAAAACCGTACTTTGTGTCAGAAGCATAAAATGCACACAAAATGCGTGAGACTAAAATGAACCCGACTTCCAGTAATGTCAACTTTTGATGCGTGAGCGATGTTTTATTTATTGTGTTCCGCATACATTATCCGGTGTCTACTAATTATCTATTTATTAGACACTTTCTTACTTATTTCGTGTTTATAGTTGTTCCAGAAGAAAATTATCTTCATTCCGAACAATAATCATGGTGGAACTTCCGGTTTGTCAAGTTAACGATAGGATCTCGATTACCGGATAACAGACTGATTCATTCTTTTTCAAATCGTTGTAATTCGTACTGTTATACCCCGTTCGCACCGAGCATTTCGATCTAGATTGTGACTAAGGTCGGAGAGAGTTCCGTGGTGCGAACGCTCTCGACCGTTTCAATCTCGACTGAAACGAGGCTATATCGCGATCGACTGGAGACAGTTCTTGAAACTAGATCCAGTCATAAGAGAGATCCCACAATCCCATGCGCGCGAGGAAATACAAGATGGCTGCTTAACACGTGTCCGGCTATCGACAGAAAAATAAAAAAGACATCTGGAGAGACGATGACATCTGTCTATTATTAGATATACGGCAAGAAAAAGTATTTATTTCTAACCAAAACTTCCATTTTGTTTGTTGGTGTTTGTGACTTACCGCGTAGTTATGTCAACTTTATCATCGCGTGTAATAGCCGGGTTCTTNTGATTGTTCATATTTTACATTGATTTAATTTAATAATTTTAATTTAACTGTATTTAAACGTGCCTTCAAAATAAAATACAATTACACCAAAAAATGAATATAATGTGATTTAACATTTTAACTCACTAGAAAGCTAAATCAATGAGAACCCTGAGCTTGTTTCTTTGCAACGAGACAGTTCCATCTGGGGGTAATAGAAGACAATGACACTCGAAGTGTGTTTCTTATGTTCAGTTTATTCCGCTGTTCCGTCGCCTATTAAAAGTCGCACAAACCGGAGACAAATACACCATAGTAAATAAAATGGAAATAATTTAATGTTCTTTGGGCGGCCCGGTACCATTTGATCCACGGACCGGTACCGGTCCGCGGCCCGGGGGTTGGGGACCACTGGTGTAGATAAATTTACACGTATTTTAATTTTTCATAAATAGTATAAATGCCAGAAGTGACCCAATCCGATATTTGCATTCGACAATAAAATAATTTTTAGGAAAATCAGCGAAATAAAAAATTCGTGGACATTTTGAGTCTTTAGATATCAGAGCGCTTTTTGTATAAGTACCTGCAATGAAGTTTCTAACGAAAGCGACTAAACAATTTCTAAAAAATTACTTACATAAATTGTAAACTTTATAATATTTATATGTTTTTTTGTAATTTATTTATCTTTGTTTTGTTGATTTTGACCCGTTTAATTCCTATTTAATTAACAAAATAAACAATAACTATTATTTATATTTACGGTTTAAATTATTGTTGTTTAAACAATTGTTTACATTATTTTCTGGCTTGTGAAATATATAATATTTAATGTTAAAAATTTACCGTAGGGATATTTGTCTCGTTTAATTGCTCCTATTACTTTATTCATCCTCATATTATTACCTAACATTGTCTATTACTTAACGTCAATTCTTCAACTTTTACTTTCATTTATTTTATTTAGTTTTACTTTCCTGACTGTTCTGTATACGTAACAAGGAAGAATATTTAAATTTGACCCCCGAGTGTTTTGATCATCTTTACGTCTTCAGACTTCCTGAACGCGGAAAAGTCTAAGAACGGTGAAAAATTCCGTGTGTATGTGCGTGTGTGTGTACTGGCAACTGTTTCGTATATCTCGGGATGACTTAAAGATCAAGAAACGAAATTTGGTGCGGTAACTTTTGTATAGGAGACACGGATGAATGGATTGTTAGATTTACTGGTTAAGGTGGTGAGAGTGAGGTGTCATATGTCATATGTCGAGAGACGACTAAACGAAGATTTTTCCAGTTATCAGCATTTGCAACTTTTTATAAAAACTCATCCTCATAAGTAAGCTTTTTGCTATTCGATGATAATTGAAAATATAAAAATATTTTTAAAACAAAATCTCGTAACAGATGACGATACATACGAACTATGTTTATTATGATTAATAAAATAAACGTTATTTTTATCTAAACTTAAATAAATTATATGAAAAAATTAAATATTACAGATTAATAAGAATTAATATCGAACTATAATTTGTTTTCTATTACAATGTGTAGAACAGTGGTCTTTAAAGTGGGGTAGCGCGTACCCCAGGTAGTACGCAAAGTGATACTTAAGGTATACAAAGTTCCCTTCAAAATACTGTACGCGTGTCCTGTCCTCAGTCTATCTAATCTTACAATCATCCTCCCGGAGAAGTAAGCTCGCGATCACTCGCGATCATACACGGAAAAATTCAAATTTTGGTTAGCAAAAAATTTAGTAAAGTTTTAAAACAAATACAATGACGTTGCTTACATTAAATTCAAAATGTATATTTTATGATGATGTTTATAACTAGTTTCCTGAATTAACACTTTTCTAGAAGCTCACATCGTGTACAAACTTATCAATGACCATTTTTAAAATCTAATTAATATATTAATAAAATATGTTTTAAAAAATGTTACATCTCCTCCCGGTCTCCCCTACACCTCTGATCTGTACATTTGACTGTGGTAAAGAAAAATTCGATCATTTGCTATAACAACGGAGCAATCCGATTGAGAGTCATTCCGACGAAGAATTCGGCAAGGAAACAAGAAAATGATAAGGCGTAACCTACGATAAGCAGAGAAAATGGGCCAAGCAAGTCTTGTAGAGACAAAGGTCTACAATCATTCGACGATTTTAGTTTTGATTCGAAAAGTGTATCGCCAGACATTTTAATAAAGAGTCCAGTATCGAACAATCTTCTGATTCTAAATATAAATTAATTATTAAATTAGGTTAGAGTTTCTACATTAAGAGAAATGTTAAAGTGAACTTACAATTTGTCGATTTTATTTTTATGCGGAAATCCTTTCTTCATCATAAGTACCTCGTTTTTTGTGGAAAGAACGTCATCGGATACGAAATATTCGTCGTCGGAATCCATGGTGAGGACTTTTATTAAATCTGGTGAACCGATAATCGCCACTTTTGTTGTTTCTCCAAATAATTTAATTAAAATCTTGTACATTTCGGCTAAAAGTGCTTTGGCTTCCAAGTTCGAAACTTTCGAAATTCTTAATTTAGTATATACATTCTTAAGTTTTTTTTTAATTTCAGCATCTTTTTCTAATTGATTTTGCCAAAAGTGGAGGCTTAAATCAAAATGTTTGGCCAAGGTTTTCATGTATCCGATTTCTGATTTCTGTAAAAAATTCAATTCCTATTTCAACTAATGAAGTAAACTTTTAATAAGTATAAAACTTGTTATTGATTTATTGATTGATTAATCAATCAATTTATATTATAATTATAAGTTGCTAATACAACTGGAATCTACTATAAATAATGGTTTGGTAGTATTTCACCACTGATTATTGTTTCGAATCGTAGCGAAATAATAATATTTAAAACCCGATTAAACTTCCATTTAGGTTTCCCCAAATTTTTCCAAAAATTTATGAGAAAAGTTTCAACCCCACAATGACCAAGCCCCAGTAATTTCGCTCCTTCTCTTTAACTTCCGACGGAATGGGCGGCCCGACAGACTCAACTTAGCTTGCTTTCTTCACTGTTCAAAAGTTATAACAGTAATTTTTTACGTATTTTTAAATTAAATTAAAATTTAATTTAAACCTATTTAACTAAAATGAAGTAATCTGCAAACGTAGTATTCCGTTTAATTAATAATTAATTCGATTCAATTCAATTTAACAAATTAAATTAAATTAAATTAATAATTAATAATTAATTAAACAGACCGCAATATATTCCAACTGTTAGAAAAAAGACAGCGACCTCAGAGACCGGGATGGGTCTACTCGTCAGGATTCTGACAGGACGTAAAACTTTGGAATCTTCGAGGTGGTCCATCTGGATTTCGTTCTTCGCCTTCCGAATGTCTTATTGTGAGTCTAATCGAACCCACTTTGGCCTCGATAAAATACCATGTTACTGCCCATACGATGAAAAGTGTCAAAGAAACCCGACGTCTTGCGTTGTGCATCATAAAGTTAGCTATAATATTATTTCATTATTGTCCAACCGAATGTATACATTGTAAGCGGTAAACGACAGAAAACAGTATTTACAACAGCAAACTTGTATTTCGGGTTGAACTAGTCGAAAAATTTTTTGTACAGTCATTACAATGTTAATATAAAAATACTTTTATAAACAAATAGAAGCTACTAGCTACGAATGTTTTCAATCAATTAAACCAGAAACCTTAGTTAAATTTGGCATAGAAAAGAAGTGGATACGTGAGAAATGCTATACAGGTCATGTCATTTATAAATATCATAGTTTTGCTTATTTTCTGACAGGCAAACATACATTATATGAAGCAAACATTCAATAGAATTCTAAAGCTACATTATTGTCGCTGACAATGCCCTTCTAAGTTTTATCGGGTGATGTTGTTTCACTCTCGCACTGCTATTGAATTAACTGCTATTTAAATCGTTATTACTGTTCTTTAATTCGATGAACACAGATCCTTTCCATTCAGAAAAAGCAGAGATAGATGTTTTCAATTTTGCTCGAAATTTCTTTCATTTGTTTTCTGTTTAATCGTTCCCAGGGTTCCCATAATACAATAATTATTTCGTATATTTGTATATCGGGAGAAAATTCTAACCGATATTGTTATTTCATTGAACCGGATTATTTTATAAAACAACTTTAAACTTACATTTAAGTTTAAAATAAAGCTATTGTCGTCAATATATAAGCAGGAATATTCTCTTCTTTCAAGGGCAGCAGCGAGTTGTTCGAGTGTGGTGGGAACGGGTTCGTTTACTTGCACGGCCAGCAGCGACGACAATACACCGCCGTAACCCCATAACAAAACACTAATCGATAACACCCACATTAAAAAACATATTCTGGACACAAATCGATTGATGCCACGCATGTCGACTCCTGTAACGATAGAAACTTTATATAAATTCGCCAAAGAATTCTCATAAGTCGTATCGACTTACCTTGGTTAGTCATAGTCGTGAAGAGAAACCAGTATACACTCGCTACGGGCCAAGGTTTATTGTCTTTGTCTTTGATGACCCATCGAAGATAAAATCCAAACAGTAAAAGGGAACCCAATACAGCTAGCCATACCTTCGTTAAATTTGTATGGAACGAAAATAATAATTGCAATATTTAAAAGTATTTAAAATTTGACAGAGGAAAAAGGATATTTACGTGTAAACGAAGGACATTAGCAATTGTATGCCATCCAATTTTATGCTTTCTCGGTTTTAAAAGAAAAGTTTTAGGTTTTATCAAAATAGGTGCTGAAAAATCCACATTGCGGTAATTATCGAATCTAAGTTCGAAAGTGCCTGGCGAAATATCAGCCTCCTGTAAAAATGAATAAAAAAATATCGTTCACACGGATTACTGCAATGAATATATCGATGGAATCTCTCAACGTATTACGGGAAAAACTATATTTATATTACAATGTAATTCGTAATACGTTGGTTACAAATTAATAGAAAAAAATAACTAGCAAATAAATTAATTATTAAAATATTAATAAATTCGCGATGACGTTTAATTGTAAGACGTAAGACTTATTCCCTTATACACCAGACACGATTTTTTCGAAAGAAGCCACGTAAGTCCTCCCGACTAAATTTTCATTTTCAATGATTTTTTTCATTAATGGCTTAATTAAAATTGACGAGATTTTAGTAAAAAGTAAAGTTTGTTCTGTTGCTTATTATAAAATGACACGTGCCATATTTTGCAGTAATTCCTAAATAAATTCTAATTTTGCTTGTCATTAGCAGTTGGAATTCATTAAATATTCATTAAATTTAACTGCGTTCGAGATGTGACGCACGATATTTTCTCTCTTTTTCGATTTCTTTTCCACCTCAAAGATTTAAGAAAATCAATGCCCTGTATATAAAAACAATTCTGGAAAATTTGAAAATTTATGGTTCATTCAGTCCAGAAATATGCAAAATTCACACGTACTTACTTTTGTAAAGTTGTTTTTTCTTTTATATTTTTGGGCTCGTGGAGTGTTAAAGCATAAGCCAAAATATGATTCATTAGTTTAGTTCCTCTGTGTTTTATATAATTTGGGATAGAATAAACAGATTTGTTCTTTGCTACAGAGACAAAAAAGTAAAAGCGGAAGAAGTAAATTAATAAATACCTTTTTTAATAACTGCCACATTTCAAACATATCTACATTTCCATGGAATTTTTTGGCGTCATTTCGTGACACGCTTGCGTACACGCAACTGAAAATATATAATTATTTTTATGTTTAAAATAATGTAAAGTGGCACTATCACATTAAGTGTCACAATTGATATTGAAACACTTAAAGACACTTAGAAGTTGTCGTCGCAATCGAACAAAACTTTTGTGGTGCAAACTCGACGACGATCATAAAAAATTTTTTTTTAATTTCCGCCAGACAACAATACAATAAATTTCTCTGGCTCGTAAGACCGCCTCTTGCCTAGATAGAAGCATAGTTTGTTTGTCTATTTGTTTGTTCGTGTTCGCTAACAGGACATGTGAGCAATCTGCCGAGTGGGAATGCTTCCCAGTAGGACTTTGTTTTGAAGTCTGGTCCCGTTTAGGTGTTACTAACGTAAAAACACCCGAAAAATGCTGGGTGACCAGCAGTTGTTAAATCCACTCGGCCATCACAGAGATTTAGAGGAACCTCACGATATCCTGAAGCAGGAACAAGCACGATGTCGCTGGCACGAACTACCCAGGCTGATAAACAGAGTCTTATCTGATCCCTGGAGGGCTCGACGAGTGACCGATGAACACACCGTGCGTGTCAAGGAAGTAAATTATCCGTTGTTCGGAGAATCTGTTATATCGCAAACGACGGATTTCCCGCAAACCCAGGAAAATATTTGTTACTCGGAAAAATTTCCATTTCTTAACCCTACATCTAAGAAATACAAGTATTTGAAGTTATTCATTCTGTTGAGATCTCAATTATTTCCTCTATAGAAACACGTATGTTTGTAACGTACGAGTACGTTATGCCGTATATCAGCGCTGTCCAACTTATCATAGCCCGCGGGCCATATTTTCTTCACCAAACATTTCGGGGGCCAAGAAGGTTGGTGATGGCTAAGTCGGCTGGGAATCACGCCACATGACATTTGCATAGTGCTACGGTTCAGTGAGCACTAATTGGTCAGCGAGTCCGATCTCGACGCTATAAAAAGGCGACAGTTCGACACACCGGATATACGTCACTCTCGTCTAAGTTCGACTTGGGAATTTTTTTGTTCAATAATAAATGTGAATTCTTCTTCCTGGGAAAAATAAGACCTAGCGCATTTTTCAGAGCAAAAATTAATATAAGGCACTGTCTTATTTTCGGGTAAACACGGTAGTAAAATAATTTTAATATTAATAATAATAATTTAGTAACATAAATTTATTCATAGTAAAATGTACTCGCGGGCCGTAAAAATTATTTGGCGGGCCGTATACGGCCCGCGGGCCGCCAGTTGGACAGCGCTGCCGTATATGATTGTATATTTTGCCACACGTGTGTACGACAAAGCTGATGAAATCTGTACATACTGTAAGCACATAAAAGACAAATTACGTATGCTCCTTAGCAGTTTCACTTCACGATTTGTTAAAAAAAACTCGTTTATCTTAGTTTCTTTCGATGTCACTTTTCTCTATTGAATACAATAACCGTTTGATAATATTATTTACCGGTACAGTACAGCCTGTTCGTTTCTGCTAAAACGCTACAGGAAGATCTTTACAACTTGAAAATACTCGATGACCTCGATAAATTTTCGTCACACTTGGACCAGCTACAGAGTTCATAAGGTGACTCCTCAATCGTATCAACCGACTGACTTTCTTCGTACAGTACAGTACATCTTTTGAATTGTACATATCTCAAACGAGAAAAGTGCACCATCAAACTCTATAAATTTCTAGAATCAGCAAAATATTACCTAAACGTTGAAAAAACGCGAAGTTTACGATAGATTTGGGGTAGAAAAAGTTCGTTGTTCAAAGTAACGGATCCGGTATAATGAAATAAAATTACATTGGTTTGGTGTGACCGACGAAAAGGATCCGTTATTTCAAAAATTCCATTGATTCGTGATCCGTAGTGTAGTTACTTTCTAGCCATTAAAGACGAGACTATTGTCTAGTCTTAAATAAGAACAGCTACAAATACTGCATTTATAATTTACCAGCGCGTGCATTACTCCGCATTTACTGTGGAGCTTCCAACTACTCTCGCTACTGGTACTTCCTGAGAGTACCAGTAGTCAGTGGTGGTGATATTCAGCGGGTTCGCACAGGTTCGGCCGAACCCGTTGTTAACATTTTCAAAGTTTTCCGAACCTTGTTAAACACACGTAACATTTCTCAATGGTTTTGATTCTTTTAAAAAATATATTAAAATATACGTATTATACTCTGTAACACTACTAAATAGAGCTTTCCGGTGCACCATTTGAGCGAAAAAAAATTGATAAGGAAAATTTTCTGTTAGCGAACCCTTTGTTAAATATTTCGAATATCACCACTGCCAGTAGTTGGTGAGAGTAGTTGGAAGTAGCTGGTCGCTACTTCCAACTACTCTCGCCACCACTAATGATCACCCACGTCATACGAGATGGCATCTAAAAGCATCGAAAAGACAGCGAGACCTTAAATGGAGATTTTAATGGGCCAGTGGTAGTAAAAAAATATAAAGAAAAGTTATTTGTTTTGTGCAATAATTGACAAACGTAGAACGCTAAAAATAGACTTACCTGGCATTTAATGTTCTGTAGATCAATGACGTAAATTCCTCGTTGTTTGCAAAATTTAGTTCTTGGCATGATAACTTGGAACGAAAAGTAATCTGAAATTAAAAGTAATAATTTTTTTAATTTTGTGGTGTGATTATCGTTACATTTAGCAAACAGCGCTATTATGACGAAAGGATCGTTGACAAAAGACTTGGTATTAACAGATGCAAACGGTCTGTTAATGTTCCGACAGATTGATTTTTTGTGTTATTGCCATATAAAATCTGAAAAAATCCCAGAGTGCTTGTACGCTGGCCCATTGACAAACACTGTGGCAATGGGCCAGCAAAGACGAATATTCGGCATTCGACAAATAGCGTAGGCGTGGAACCGTCCTAATGAACATACGTCAAATGAACCTGGCCTAACGTCATTAAATGATTAACGGTTATGCACTCGAGGTGTAGGTTTTAACGAGTGCATAATCAGGAAACACAAAAGTATAACTGTAGCTATTGTCTACTTTAGATTAAAATAACAAATATAACGAATTTATCACTCGGTTGCAATGAAGCATACACGGTTTAGATCTCGTCGCTGGTAGCGCTATTGCCAGCTGAACTTTCGGTAGCGCGTAAAATAGTGGAAACTAAGCGGAAGTTTTGATTTGCTTATAAAAATCTGGATTTACAGAATATGACACTTGCAGAATTAAGAAAGAAATTAAAAGAATTAGGGACTGAAACATGCTCATTATCACTGGGGGTCTAATGGGTTTGCAGACTCTCCTCTTTCCTCCTCTTTCCTCTTACTCTTATGATGTTTATACTGTTTAATAATAAAAGAAGATATTTTTAATCTTGAATTTTGTATTTATTGTATAAATACAAAATTCAAGCTTAAAAATTGATTAATATATAATAATCAATGATTATTAATAATAATGCTTAAAATATTGATTAATAACGCGATAAATAGTGATCCAGCGATAGATCAAAGAGGTTTCTAATACTAACATACGTATAATATAATAATAAATGTTTTACAGCATTATGTAATTTGTAAGATACTGTATAAATGCGATATTTACAAGCTATTTGATGAAAATTAAATTTTAAATAAAATTTTCAAAATTGCGACTACATCCCTAAGATGACTCGTTGACTTGTATTGTGAAGACCCGCCCAGTTCCAAACTTCTCGAAGACCGGATATTTCTATGGAAGAACTGGATAGCAGAAACGCAGAGAGAAGTTCTAAATACATTTCCGAACTTTATATTGTATATTGAAGAAGCTATAAATATATTCGCGACATTGCATCCGAGGAGAAGGCAATTAGATACGTTGTAGGCAATCGAAGGTTTTCTTGAAGACGTGAAAGCTTCATTTTGTAATATACATAACGACTTGTTTCTTATTCCACTAAACATCCCCTAATAACTATTTGACGAAGCGCCTGATAAGACAACAAGAACAAAGGTAAAACTTTCAGAAAGGTACACGAGCTTAAATTATTAAACTGACGCTTTTACAGTTTTTGGCTTTTGTTTTCGGTATTGCTCTTTTCGGCCTATACCGAATATAGGCAACGCGTAGCATATTTAATAAATAATACTGTAAGTGTACTGTACAGTATGTCATACAGTTTTATCACACAAGTCATTCTACTTATACTTCTTAAATATTAGAATTGATTAATGCACCGTTCATTATTGACATAGAAATACCGATTTATATATATTATTAAGTTAAAAACGATACTTACGAATGTTTTAGCAATTATTATGACATTACTTTGATTCGCCAATTCTGCAAAATATTAGAAAATTTGTATTAAAAGTAAATATCTTTAACGTGATTCGCACCACAAAACCATAAAATTTCTTACTGACGTTTTTCGTTCGTTCACGAAAAGCATTGCTATAGCAATAATTACATCTATTCTTATAATCTGTAATTGAAGTTTCATTCCGCGAGGAGTGAAACTTCAATTACAAGTTACAACAGAAAACTTACGCGAAATTATATAATGTATTAGTGAAATTTTATACGTGCCAGTACGGTAAATTACTCGATATAAGCTCAGATAACCCGATTTAAGTAATAATTATTATAGTCGAAGTATATTCAAGCAGGGGCAGACAATACAACAAATAAAATCTATAAATATGTTCATGTAATTGTCTTGGAAAAAAGCAAAACATCATTCGTTAGATTGGCAGTACTCACCCAAATTTGCAGCTTCGGAAGCCATCACTAACGAAAGAAAAAGGAAAATAACGTAAAGAAACATCTTTTGGTGTAAACTGCACTTCGACTACACACGTAATGAATGACACCAGAGATAAATCGTTACAAATGAGAAAGTAAATCGTCACTTCGCGTGCCTTTAGCAAATATCCATCGTTCGGTATCGTATTTGCAGATGTCACGACCTGTAATGCTCTATTAAATATAAATATTTCAATTTATGATCCGCCTTATAAAA